AAGTTCGTATTCTCAGACGGAGTAACGTGATAAGAAAAGAATATTCACAGAAAGAGACTCGCAAGAAATGCTCGATCTCTCGTAATAACGAGTGTACAGTCGCGTCGACTTACGTTCCTAAAGTACGTACGACGTTATCGCCACGTCTTAGAAGCCTAACATAAATGGTAACAAACGTACGAGAGGTCGATCGAAACAAGGAAAAAAAAAAAAAAAAAAAATTTTAAAAAAAAAAAAAAAAAAAAAAAAAAAAAAACTTACAAAATTCGATGTCTGAGATGGTCCCTCCAATTAAGTCATTTTATTCTTCACGCATTTATCTACGAGTTTCATCGACATCCAGCGCTACCACGAGCTTACCTGAAAGTAAATTAAAGAACGATTAGCGTCAATGTGTAATCTGGCACTTGGCCCTCTGTAAGAGCATAAAACCAAACAAGGAAGAAGAAGAAGAAAAACTGTAATCGGTGTCTTCGATAGTTTGCAAAATACCTCAAATTTTATTTGCACTAGTGAAAATGGCTCTTCATGAAAAAGTATCGAAGGGGGTCGAAAATGACGTTTGACATTCTCGCGTTAATATGAAACTTCTTAAACTCCCCTATATCCTAACGTCCAGTATTTCCCTACGATTATTTCACAACCGTATTAATTAACTGCGTCGCGACGGCGCCAGAGCCTTGTGAATTTTTGTTGAATAATTCACAAAGTCTCGATCGAGCAACCAGTGACTGCCTTATCGTGTTGCGATATCCCGGTCGATCGACCATTTCCCGTATCCCTCAGGACTGTATAATTCGAGCCAGTGGCTTATTTAATTCGCCAAGTTCCGTAACTCGTTATAAGTTTAACACGCGGCTACATAGGTCCAACGTAAACCAAAGGAGTTCACGCAGAGGCTCGACGAAGTATTTCTTAATTAATTTCTTTTTTTAATCAATCTTCAATTATCACTCAAAAAACCCATTTTAAGAAACTTCAAAGTAAAGGTAACCAGAAAGAGGTTAAGCAAGTCCATCAACGCTGCAATGACGTTTTAATTTCGACTCACCTCTTATATAATAATTGTCCAAAAAAACATTTAAATAAATAACGAAAATGTTATTCCTTCGAAAACGATAACGTGTCTACCATACATTAATGTACCTACACCACGTGCGACGGTATCGAATAAAACAAATGTCTTGTCGAAAGTATATATATATATATATACATAAACCGTATCTAATATTCCTAAACTTAACGAGGCATTTCAATCGAAAGGTGATTAAAGCCCCCGTTCAGGAGAATTTAATTCGGCGACGATTTCGATTGCTTAACGAGTCGTGCGAACGGGCAAACGAGATACCTCCCGCTAATAGTATTAGATACAGTGTATCGATTATAGTAATTGGCCCAGCGATTGAGTTTCCCCGTGGATAATCAAACTATCGGTTAAATATAAGAGAATGCTACGAGCATTCGTGTCGCCATAAGAAACTATGAATATCAGCCACTCGTCTATGCTGCTTAGATAAATACTGCTGTAATTTCAAGAGCGACCGGTGTGTCATAATTTATAAGAGCGGCAGTTCGCTACTGGTGCATTAGGCCGCTATCAGAACTCCCAGACAGATCGAATGTCGTTCGCTAAAAGGATACTATTTTTTTGTCCCCTTCTTTTAAATTCCGTAACCGCATACCAGACTAATCTACTCAACAGGAAAGAGATAGCAGCAGCAGCAGCCCTTATCCTTGGTAACGAAACACCACTATTTGTCGAACGGAAGAACTGCGACGGGTTAAATGAAATGACGATTTCTTCATTCTCAGTCCTAATGCTGTATACACAGGCTACTGGGCGTCGACGTAGCTGCTACGAAGCGTCGAGTAGGTCGCCGACGTCTGAATAAGCCTTTATTATATAATTGAAGTGTTTGACGGGTCTAATAACGGTGTCGGACGGCAGTCAAGAATCGCGTCGCGTCGTTCCGATGAGAACGATGCCGTCGACCTCTTGCGTCACTGTTTACGTACAGCGCCGTCGCGACGTACTCGGCGACCGTTGTTCGCGCACGCGAAAGTTCATCCTGATCGGCTGACGTAGAAGCGAGATGGGGCAAAGGAGAATTGGGTGAGAATGTGAAACATACGGAGACAGAGAGAAAGAGAGAGAGGGAAGAGCCTATGTAGGTCATACGGTTGCCTAGCAACAGGCACTAAGCTTGTCCCACGTGTCTTCTGTAACGAACTACGTTATGCCTTGTATTTCGTATTTATGTGTGTACAGGACGTGTCAAAATTTATCCACACGGATTTTATAGTAATATCTTTGAGATTTAGGGGGGGCACAAATTTCATCCGGCAATTAATTTTTGAGGTACAAATGTTTTGTGTTGTAAATTTTAAGGTAGCCAGCGGTAGCTGCCGGCGACGGGACGCTGTTGTTGACTCTGGATTTAGGGATAAGATTGGCTGATGGTGTGACTGAGTTTGGCCCATGTGGCAAATAAATTTTCTAATGGATTACTGTACGTAGGTACAAACTTCGGTTACACATATATGGATCTCGTAATGACATGGAAAGTTGTTCGGGTCATCTACTAACAATTTTATTTCCAGCTGCACTTGGGCCTCGCTTTATCCGCGCCAGCCGCACACGTTTAGAAAAATATTTACTGGCGACACATAACCTCATAATTATTAATTCAACAGTTCCCAAAATTGCACGTAAATACGATGATTTTCAAGTGGCGACCGCAGATGAATTACGATGACAAGATAAATATTTTCAAGAAATTTTGAGTTCAAAATACTCTACTGACTTAGGACCCACAAGTCTTGCAGCATACGGTGTCGTATATTCGTAATTTTCTAAAAATTTACGTCATACTAATTAACATTGTGCAATCGTCTATTTCAGTAAATATGATCAACCTGTAATTTTGCGACTGGTAATGAAATCACGTATTGATACAAAAATCAAGGTCAGAGTGGGATCCAATATTTATTGGAATTTCCAATATTTATCAAAAATATTTTTTAAAGATGTTGGGCAATATAAAATCGAGCGGACAGTAAAGCATGCATCAATAAATTGAATCTCGATATTTTCTTACAACCGTTTTCGAAAATCTTAAAAAAAAATGTCAAGAGAGCTAAAAGAATTCGTGTATTACGAATATCAGCTGTTAATTTACTCGTGCAAACTGAGGCTCTTGTCGCGTAATATTGTCTTGTGGTTTGAAGGGAATATTAATAAACGACGAAAGTGGTGCCAGTAAAGTAGCGTGACGAAAATACAAGAGCGTATATTATATATACAGTGGGACGTGGCTATAAAAAATATAAAATTTCCTGAAATTATTTATCATATCAAATAATTTCAAAACTTGAGATACTCATTAAAATTCGGAATACCGGGTAAGTGAATAAAATTTATTTATCGTTTACTCTTTTCTTCCCTATCAGCACGTCACATAAATTTATTTTATAAATAATTGAATATATACGTTGTCCTATATATTTTATCCCATTGTGCATACCAGGTTTGCCCTGTCACGGGGTTTTCCCCTTAGACGTCTACGTATATCTATAAGTGGAAAAACCCAGCATTAGATATTAAGTCATAGAAAGTATCGAGTATTTGCATACTTATGGTATTGTATTTTTTTTTCACAAAACTATATCTGAAAATAATATTTTTTTGCGATACGATAAGTTCAGTACAAAAAAAAAAAAACTATAAACGCTAATTATCTCTCAGTGATTAAAAGTGCTGTCTCGTCTATGCGTTGGAATATCGTGTAAGATACGCACTCAATATAATTGGCAGTTAAGCATTCCGTACATTCATCATAATTACAAAACTTTACAAATGCAATCTGTCGGACTTGACCCCCTTGTATCTTCAGTGTGCAAAAATTATGCGAGTTTCAACGTAACTTGGCAGCTATTCTATCCAGGGTATCACGATCTACCTTGGTCTCAAAATCGTCTCGCGCAATATGTTATACATGATATATCAATCAGAATGATAAATAAATAAATAACAAATGTAACAAAGGAGATATTACTAAGATTTGTAATTCTCGTCGTAAACTTCAACTTGTCAAATTTTTATTTATTTTTTTCCATCATCTTGACTTTCTTCTCGAGTGATACTGCAGTCGTGAAATCTAATGGAATTTGTCTGCTGGTAAACGCGATGCTCGTTGGCATGCGGCCACGACCTTTAAGCGAATAAACATACGCGACGAAAGCTGAGCAATGCGGCACGATTGGCTGCCTGTCACAAGAGATTTTGTGAGCCTTCTGTTATACGAATTTTTTAATTGATCAATATACATAGATTAGAAGGAATTAGTTATATATTTTTATTTTATCACAAGGGACACATTGTATTCTTATGTAAATAAAATATATTTTTGTAAGATCAGTAATAATCTTATATTACATGTATTTAATGTATATGATGAAATTCGATAAATTTTGAGAAATTCCAGCATTCATTTTTGGAATACCCTGATTCTTTAATTGCATAATTTTATAAGACAGTACGAAGGACTGACGAGCTGACACGAATGCGCGGGCATTACGTTTTAACAAGAAGGGCAATCGCCATGTCGACTAATTAGGTCACATACGTCTCGGGATTCTCAGAGACAGAAAAAAGCGATCGTTCAAGTGTAAAATAAGTCGATATAAATATTTTCCATGCGTAGATACATAAAATAAATGTACGTACATGTCTGTAGGTGACGGCATGTTCCAATGGGCACTATGCGGGAACGCGTGAGTGCGTAAGTACGAATTGCGATGAGTAATAAAACGGCAAGATAAGAAAATATTCAATAGCAATAAGATTGTTTAAGACCGAGAAGCAAAAGATTGGAAAAAATGTACAAAAACAAGAATATAATAAATATTCACTATCGGAAACAAGAATGAAATCGAGAAAACGGTCAAATAAACAAGTTTAAGTGTAACTTCGCTAAATTTCCGCCAGAGGCGCTGCGCGCGGAAATTTACTCGGCGTCGCGTGCGTTCTCCTAAAAGAAAATCTCACGTTCCACGTCAGCCGTCGTAAAGATCTTTCAAGTATCCCAGTTAAGAATCTCACCCAAGAGAAAAGGAAGCGTAAGAACAACAGTAAGATGTGTAAAAATATGCATCAGTCAATTGGTGCAACTGTTCGTCCCAGGAATATGATGACAATCGAGACGTCGGGAAAATATTTTGCTAGGAGCCGAACGCGAGCAGAGCCGAGCCGAGCCGAGTCGAGACGAGTCGAGCCGAAGCCGAACAGAAGTTTCATGGCGGATCGAACGGTAGCAACAAGTGGTGAGAACTTCCTTGACTTCTCGTGCTTTTAGTGCTATTCAAAGGTCGGTGGGTTGAGGAAGGCGGCGTTTGTCGTGCACTCAGTTATCTTGAAAGTCGGATTTAATAATGCAGAAGGGAATCTATGTCGGATTAACAGCCCTCTCTTGTTTACGTCAAGGAAACCTCTTCCTCTCTCCGCTGGCCACAAACCCGACGTCAAGCTAGCAGCTAGTTTCTCTCATCCGACGGGATTTAATGGGACGATAAAATTCAAATGAGCCATGAAAACTGGATAAAAGATTCCTGGCTAATGCTTAGAAAATCGGTAGGACAAGAATTTTAGTTCAGTAGATGGAGGTTAAGTCTAAGGTTAAGTCTAAGTCTATGATTTACATGCATGAAACAGCATCGATTTGACTGCGTCTCTGGTATCGTCACGCGAGAGGACGCGTCTTCCTTTTTGAAGTCAGTAAACAAGGCCTCTCAGTTATTTGCTCGTTTATCATCGCCCGATAAGATATCTAGAATCAGGGGAACGACACAAACAACCTGTTAAATCCGTATGCACTTTGTTTACAACTGCAACGTGGATAGCGTGATTATTATCCGGGTATCATCTTCGTGCTGGACAGAGAAATTGTATACGGTTACGCATACAATGGAGGGAGAGAAGAAAAGATGTGAGGAAAGAAAATTAAAGAAATTATTTTACGCGAGATCCTGTCACGCCTTCGTGAACTGTGCGCGAGCAGAATTTTTTATCTAGATAAACTTTATTCTAAAGCCGTGACATGACCCGACTGATCAGCACATAGAAACATAATCTACCGCGTGTATTTTAAGAACGGTCACTGTTCTTCAAACATTTAACCCCTTGCACTCTGAACTATTCTGGACGTTGGCAACTAGCTACTCAGCGCCACTTCGTGGAAATTTCAGGAAAACATCCATTTCTCAAAAAGTTGTCCTGGAATAAGTTAATTCCCCGTAATCACTAATAAAATTTAATGTGCCCTGAGAGGGGACATCCGAGTGATATGCTAGAGTTACGATGTCCCCTGAGAGGGGCAGCGGACTGCAAAGGGCTAATATACCGCGTGTAAGTATCTGTACGTATTCTCGAATCTGAGATTCTCTCCGGTAAACACATTGGCAACATTGGCATTCGCATTATAGACGTGCATTTGTATGGTCGATCCACAAGTTAAACAGCTTAAAGTGACTTATGGAAAAATGCTCCTAATGAAGTTTCCCATTGCCAATGCTCCTTTGCCAAAGATAATCTGTGAAAAAAAAAATCAATGGAAATCAATGGAAAACCATTAACTACTTTTAGCAAAAGAGCATTGGCAACCGGGATATTTTGCTAGGTGAGTACCTATACCAACGAAACACGTGTTCCCATCTGTCACATTAAGCTATTTCAGTCATGGACCTACTATACGCGGCTTGCAGCTATTCGAGTAAATTTGGAGAACACAATGATGTCAATTTAATATAAAATATTAAACAAGTTTTATTTTCTATCAAAACAATAATTATCTTTTATCGTCATTATATTTACTTATCCATGATATTTCTGATCTCTATGGTAATTAGGATTACGTAATTTCGTTAAGAATTATAATTATTTTTACGCGACAATAACGCAGCAAATGCAGGACCAAATGAATAATCCTGTAAATAACAAGCCAGACGGTATGTTGTAGTTTTCGATGCTTCCTTTCAGCGTGGAGTCTACGTTATTGATTTAAATAAGTCATATATATATATATATATAGATTGGTCAAACGAAACCAGTCTGTGTGAATAGGACACGTTATGATGGATTCGATCGAGAAAGCACACGAGTCCTTGAGAGGCTCGTCTGAATCTTCGCTCGAGACTTTCTATAGTCCTGACTATTACGACACGGAGAGAATTTTCCATTAAAAATTAGAAGTATACGGTAAAAATTTCGAAACTTAAAAAATATCTAGCGTAAAACTATAGCTTTTACGTTGTCGAATTTAATGTCATCTAAAACAGCCGAATTATCATCGTGCGCTACATTCAATTTTACCATGGAGTGTGTACTACTTTTCGTACCATTGAAGTCAACCACGAAAAACATTGTGACTTTTTATATGTTTTTCAAATATATGATTAGGTTGTTACACATTCAGTACGTATAAGCAATGGTAGCCAATATGTTGTTAAGAAATGGTATTCATTAAATAAATTGTTGTTCAATTTATATATATTTGCTTTAGTTATTTTCTCACATTTGAATAATTAAAAATAATTATTCAAAAAATATAATTCACGTTATTAACGCGTTGACTGCCGCGCGCGTTTTACAGTGAAATTTCCTTCGGGCCACGCGTACCGCTGGCATTCAACTACTTCTGGGAATTTCTGTTGTAAATGCTTTGACGGTTTACAAAATTGTAGCAAAGAAGGATGTAAATATTAGAAGATTTAGGGAAATATTAGCTGCAAAATTATTTGGGTTGACTGAAAATGCAACAAATCCTTGTCTTCGTCGGAGTCAGCATAATATCGTCGTTCGAAAAAATGATTCCGGAGGAAGAATTAGACGCGCATGCAAACAATGTTATGCGGATACGTGTAAAAGTCGTCGAACGGGCAGATCAAAGACACGAGAGAATTTAAAGAAAACAACAACTTATTGTCCAAGTTGTCCCGACCAACCCCAGCTTTGTATAGAATGTTTTAAAGTTTTGCATTCTACATAATTTTCTTAATAAATCATTCTCGCATTACTTTTATAACAATAGTTTATACTAAAAAATATTCTGTTATAAATTTAAGTTATATTAATAAATATAGTTTATATTAATTAATATTCAATAGTTTTGTTACTTCCTCTGCGAAATATCTTTTCAAACACATACGAATGTTCTGCGCAAGTAGCCTAATAAGCGTCATCCCAGTACGAGTGACGCGGCCCGATCAGAAACTTGACTGTCCCCCGAATACGGGTGACGTGGCAGTCAACGTGTCAAATGTAGATTTATTGAACAGTTCGAATATAGTTATACCATAGAGATCGAATGGATGAGCTAACTTCAGCTAATGCAATGCTCCTAGTAACACTATACGTTTTGAAATGGTGTGAAAATATCAACAAGTTTTTGGTTATATCGATCAAATTTTGTTTTCTAATACAACAGAATCAGTTAAATTTTATCGTGGAGCGCAGTAAGAATAACTTGTAGCCACTCAAAATATCTTGTGCTATGAGCAATAAATAATGAAACGGTAACGATTTCCCACGATTACTGGTTTTTACCGTAAATATTATCGAAAAATTCTCTCCGTCGAGGAATGCTTTCTTTTCGAATCTCATAATAATTACGTAACGTAAGAGATAAGGCGACGGACAAAATATGTTTCGCTTGTACAAACAGTTGAATAAACTTTAATATTTATATACTTTTTTTTTTTCGAATCGCGCCACGTGGCGCATTTAAGATTAGCCTAGTAGCTCATTAGTTGCAGCCAACCGTGTAAATCTTCTTTAAAATGCAACATACAAAAAAATGATCAGTTTAAACTAACGTCTACAGTTGCGAAAACGTCACCCGACTTACATAAGTAATGTATTATCACAATTGTCACGTTACGCACGTAACAAAGTTATTTGTTTGAAAATTGTATTTAGCGATAAAAAAATGTATATCGTCCAAATCTCAAACTTATCAAAATGATAATTTAATAAAGTCTGTTATGCGTCGAGTGAAAAAAAATTTTTTTTTTTTAACACACGTTGTCACAAACTGCATGGAGTCGTATAAATGAACTGCGAGTATCGTTGCACTGATAGCAATTTGTGAATTGCTCTTATTGGATCTCAACTTTATATATATATACACACAAACCTATACATCAGGCAGTTTATTGTCCTGCACTCGAAAGGTGCAACTAAGTACAAAAGTTACCAACATAGAAAAAAAAAATAAATAAGCAATGCACAAAGAACACTTCGCCTCGCATGGTAGAAAGTTTCGATTCGCCGACCGTCCTGGCAAATACCTAGGCGCGGTGTGAGAGAGGTAAAAAAATTAATAAAAAAAAAAAAGAAGAAAATATCATCTTTACACCCAGAGCCAGTTGCTTTCTGTAAAAGGTCTGGGCTATGGGCTTAGCTTCGAAACGATCATTTAACCGGTTGGGGTATCGCGGCATTCAAAGAGACGCGTGAAGATTTACCAAGGCAATAATGTATCTCAATAATGTCAAGCAGCACATTCATGGTCTTCGTAGGTTAGGTTGTCTTTGGTTCCCTTTACGATTACGATCTTTTCGCCTATCGCCACGTGAAATTATTTCTGCGTGGGCCATACGCCATATATGCAGATAAGTGTATATTACGTGTATACGTGTATAACTAGTCCGTATACCATAGAGATAGGCGAGCATGGTTACGCGATAACGAGCCTTAAACCAGTCTCTCCCTGCTGCGTAAAAGTTCACTTGCAGGATGTGGATGCCGCCGTATACTCGGACGAAAACTTTTCAATTCGTTTTGCTTCTCCTTCGTCGGGAGTGGCGGAGTCCAAGTGATACCATTGGAATAATACACTGCCTTCTACAAGTTTGTACAGTCGAGTGCAGTATTTGTCACGAGTCCTCGTTATTGCGCGCTCGTTATCTTATTAGAAATTAACGTAGGTTTCAGATTGGATTCGATAAATTACGTCTACGGGCTATGCAATACGAAATTGATCCGTTGACGTCATCGAGATCTGATTAATATTTACTGGTCCGTTATATACCCGATTCGGCAGTCAACATTTTTAAATATTACTTTTATGATTTTTTAACACCAAAGCCGTTACAGCTGTAGTTCTCTCTTACGATTTAAAGCTGGTACGTCGACGAACGCTGTCAAGTTATTTTTTTTTTTTTCGAGTCTTTCCAACGGATTTCTTTGTTTCCATCATCGTACCGATCAATCGTTTGATTTGAGTAAATAATTATCTTGCGCAATGAAGTCTTTAATACAATTATTCGAGTATCGGGGTACAGTGCTTCATCGCGTGTGAAGCCGATTTCTCGGTGTTCAAGTTGTTATTATGGCAAAGAGTTCATATATGTATATTACCTATCTTCCATGCTGTGCCGATAGAATTTAGTCTATACAGATATAGGCACAGCAATGTCTCGGATCGTTAAACGACACTACAAGTTCTCGACTTTACGGCTCTACCACATGTGTATGCATAAGGGTGTTGTTCTCCTCTGACGTTATAATTTATTGCCTTAAACAATTACAGACATAATTAATCATTTTACTTCCACAAACGAATTGGCTGTCCGACTCGTTTCTTTTATCGAATCTAAACTTTTTAGACGGAAAAACGAATACCTGGGTACAAGCAAAAATCAAAATCTCGGAATTCATCGCAACTCCGAGTACCGATGAGATAATTGAGATCGAGATGAGGGAAACAGACGAGACAAATGGATACAAGCGAATTCTAGTTATTTATGTAAATTTGACAATTTCAAAATATTTTGCTTGTTTCTATAATCAGATAACACGTACACTCGAAAACACAATAGGTAATGTCGAAAAATCGTATTCGTGACGTTGCGTGAGACAGAGTTTGGCTTTTAGACGCTTTAAAGATCACTTTGTGGAATCCACGTGTCGTCTAGGTTATTGATTGTCAATTAACACGTATCAAAATGAAACGAGCCGAATGCTTAATGAGCAATTTCTTTTTGGAGCCCACGTTTGCCGTAAAGGAAGATAAGAGAAATTTTATGACTGTATCACAGGTATGATATGGAATGCGTGTCCTTTGGAAATTATTCGGTTATTCAAGAAGTGGCGAAAGAATGTCAAACCGTATTTGAAAAATATGTTCAATGGAAAATCAAATTAGTCATTGGACGGGTATATTTTTGAAATTAATTATCTACTGAAATATCAAGTTAATGTATCTCGATGAAAAAAGAATATTTATGTTACAAATATTTTGATAATGCATCGAGAAATTTATAATCAACTAATTTTTTCAACTATTCAAACATCATTTTCCGTGGATTTTATGAGATTTTTATGATCATGTCCCAAGGTTAGGTTAAATACTGCAATATTTTCACATCAAAGACTCATTCTCAGTACGATATGACAATAAGGATGTTAATTGCATTGTTATGCAATCTGTCGGTTCACATGTTTAATCACAAAGTTAGACTGTGTTCGTATCTTATCACAAAGTATGAAAAATATTAAAAAGAAAATCTTTGAGTTATTAAATTGTAAAATAATTCAATAATCGATTAACAAAAACTGAAATATTAACATACGATTATTAATTTACGTAATCCTGACGAAAATACTAAAAACGTAAAAGTATACATCGATACGAAAAAAAAAAAAAAAAAATGAATGGGATAAATCACGTAACTTTGACAAAGATTTGATAAGGATCCAAAAAAAATGTTATTTTAAGTACGATTGAACAAATGTCATCCACGAGTAAAGAAGATCTGCCGCTAATTATTTATCATCGTGTCAATGACACGATGATAAAATCGTCTGCTGGTGATTTTGAATATTGATAATTACCATATAAATCCAAAAGCAAAAGCATATGACGGAATATGATTGCCTCACACTGAAAGCGTATATGGGATGAAAAATGCCATCGAGCGTTCAAACTTATCGGTTCACCGAGCTCATATGAATAAGCTTACGTAAGTGACTGGTGACAAGCAACGTTATTTCATTTAATGATTAATTTCTCTCAAAACAATCCATTTATACCGATAAATGCCAAGAAACAGTAAAAATAGCAAAAAATAAATTAAAACGGAATTTAATCAAAATACTCCACGAACGTGCTTCTCGTGTTGCCAGGTTGGCCGTTCTGTTCGTCGCAGGAGGAAAGGTCCGAGTAAAACAAGAAGAATGAGACGTATATTTATGTGTATATATATATATATGTATATATAGAGCCCAAAAGACTCACAGAACTTGGCCGTATGTAAAGGGTGGGCCCTGTTTTAAAAATAGCCTAGGACTTCTCTATTTCCTTGGATTTTTCCATACCCTCCTGCCTCTCCACCTATCTTCGCCACTGCTTTGCGAAGGGCAAACGATCGAGCGTGCAAAACAGGTTTAACTTTTTTAATGTTGTTTTACATTTCGCAGGGCGACGCCAGCCGCCGGTTTTACGAGTTGCTTTTGTCAGCGACCGGGACGGCTTGTTCAACGAAGAAAATCCACCAGACCTATACCGATACTTGGGGATAATTCTCAAAGCTTATTATACCAAATATCAAGGTCTTGCCTTTGTACGGTCTTTTACCTATATTGTATTTACCTTACGAAGAATATTTTACGAAAAATCTACCTCTCGCGATTGGGACACCGTGACATTTTGGTTTGTCACAGATTTATACTTAAAAAAAAAAAATAATGTCAAATTTAACATATTTTAAAATGTTCCGAATTCAGCTACATTTTTCATTCTATTATATTTTACGTTATACGTAATGCGTCGATACGTCCGATACCGTTAAGACATTTTACCGGGTTATCCATATTGGTACAGTTGGGACAAATAATGGTCGAATACCCCTCCGGCGCTCCTTCGGATCAGCTCCCCCCCCCTCCCCGCTGCTTCGATCAGGCACTTGGATAATGGCACTGATGAATCAAATAATATCATATTCATTGGTATTTACTGAATGAATCTGAAGGGAGCGCCGGAGGAGACTTCAAACATTATTTTCCGCAACTGTACTTTGCGGCGCTGTGAGATTCATATGCGAAAAAGCATTGTAATATATATGTATAATATTGTAAAATGGCAAAAGTATCAGTGTGGTTGATAATTGCATAATTTTTTTTCTCTCGAAACCTCGTCAATTTTATTATGCTGCGAGTACTTACAATTTATAGGCAACAGTTCGTCTTCGGTTATCTTCGGTCGAGCTAGCATGTCGTCTGTATGTGATAACAGTCGAAGATCAACCTAGGTTATTAACACCAGTTGCGCGTGATACATACAGCTGACTCGTAAAGCTATGTTCGGGTATTCATGATTTCCCTAGATTTATAGGGAATTATAATTCTAAGCAGGTCAATTTTATTATACTCTTTGTCAACATTTATTTGGTATACTTTGTATCATCGTCACTGGACAATTTATTTGTAGCAGACGAAATATTATAGTAAAAAGATTATATTTTAAGGATTTTTAATATGAAAAAATATCAATATGACAAAATGTCCCGAGGTTTTTCATAATCATTTTTATTGGTAATTTTGCAAAAAATTTTTTGCATCGAATTCTCTGGGTACACGTATTGGTCTATGTGCCATGTGTGGAAGAACCGATAACACGTTTTTCTTGCATTTTGTTTGTGTTATCACGGATAAACAGATTTTATGACCCCGAAGAGATTGGTGTTTCGAGTTTTTCGTTCCCTCGCCATTATCAATTTCCTGAAGATAAACGAATGACAGAGAGAAAATAAAATTGACGACAAATAACTATTGGTACCACGTGTCAATTTTTAATTTGGTTCAACCAGTAAGAAGACGCATTTCATTGGTTCTTTGAGTAACGTATTAACTTCATTTGAAGTTAAAAATTTTCTTCGAGCAACGAGAAGTATTTTTGTTAACTTGTCTCTTTGGAATCGTCGAAAATATTTACGTCTTATTGATCAATGAAATATTTATTAATAATCTCAAATAAATAATACCATCCTGTGTACTTTATACCAGCAATGTAATCTCATCCGAACTGATAATATATTTTTATATTTATATTTTCCTCGTAGAAATAACTTCGTGAAATTTTATGCGGCTGGCGTATTATAATTTATGTGAACGACCGTTTGATTATACAGGCGTTTATGATGCGTCCTGATGGATAATAAAAACGAGAAAAAAAACCAAGCTACATAAAGAATAATAGTTGAATAAAAAATTGTTGCGAATTACAAAAAAAAATTGTAATGCTACATTTTTCAGGGCCATTATATTCTTGGGTCGGCAGCCATTGGTCGGTTTAAAAACATACATAAAAACTCCATCCGATTTGTCAACTAATTGGGCACGTGCAATAATCTTCCGCCAGCTGTAGAAACAAAAGGTGCACAATCGATATTAGTGACAATCGTAGGTAGGATTAAAAACTCGCTGAACCGTCTGTTGGCTAATCACCGAGTGACGTAAATTTCACTGGCGAAGTGTCATTTGCAAATGGCACATCAACCACTTTATTAGGTAATACAAAATCACGGTCTTAGACACATGACGCGAGCAACGCTCCGCGCGCAAGCGCATACGAATCTCAGACGTCACTTCGAACAAAAAGAAGCTCAAAAAGAAAGAAACAAAAAGAAGAAAATGTAGAAAATTTTACGAATATAAATAAACAGACAGTAGCAATTGAATCTATATACATGGATTTACATGGTAGATTTGATATCCGTAAAAGTATCGTATTATGAAAATAAAAAATCGAAACTCTTATGTACGATTAAATAATTTACTTATTTTATATATATATATATTTTATTCTGGGCATAGTCGAAAAAAAGTATTAAAGTACGAAGCCTTTGAAATGTATGAAGACTATACGCATACGGCAAAACAAGAAACTTGTTCGCGCATGCGCAGCAAGGTGCCGAGAGAAATATTGTCGAATCTTTTGACTAATGATACCGAATAGAAAATAATATTGAATATATTATAATACGTAATACAATATTCTTTGAATATTTTTAATAACACTGTACCTGCAGATAAGTGCTATGCATGCGTAGTTACGCTTCTTTGTACGTTTCAATCGTGCTAAATCGAAATCACACAGTTTGAGTAACCTAGCCCAGAGTTAGGTTAGGTTTATATAGAATAGTGTCATCTGAGAAAACATATGTCTCAGATAAGACGCCATACTGTCACAGACGAAATAACCGGGCAAGGTTGCAACTACGAGTCGTTATTTATTCTTATGATAGGAAATATTAATTATTCAGGTTTTATTTAATTTTCGACTGCTGTTCTCAAATATATTGGCGATTACGAAAGTGAAACGTAACATAATATCTGGCGCTCGTGCATTTGCGTATATCTTCTATCATTGACGTTAACGTCCTATCCATTTATAACAATCTCGTTGGCGGGGATAATGCACCGGATACAGATATTTAATCACTCGTCCATGCGTGGCTGAATCCGTGGATCATTCATGCGACCGATCCTGAAATTGTCACTCGTTACTTATCTCGTACGTTATGTTACGTTGGACTAAACGAACAAATTATTCTCTCACGTGCGCCCCTTTAACTGGCTTTCGTATTGAATATGCAATTTTTTTATCTTCTTGTACAACTATTATACACAAATAATTACACGGAGAACGGAATTACCTCGAGTTAAATTAGCAATTAAGTTTTGAATAAACAAGTCGATAGTTGTTTGTTAAAAAAGATTACGTTTCAAATACGATAATGCAATTTAAACGTTAATGACATAATTACCGTTTAGTGGCTCTTGTTTAAGGAAGTAATTGAACCAAGTAATCTTGACCTTATTCTTGGAATTTGACAATCAATTTATGTGGCTGACAAATAATTGTGACAATAAATGTGGCAACGAGTCAAGAAAACTAGTAGTGTCACAAAGAGGAGATTAGTAGTGTCACCCTGGGGATTTTCACAATTGTGTAAAAGCAAATTTTTTTTTTTTTTTTTTTTTTCGTGGTCAATACTTTTTTCCAAAGACCATCACGAGATTGGCAAATCTTCTGGGTTTACTTTCTTGGCTTATTGATTGATTCGTCGGTTTGACACGTGCCTCCATATCCCTCGCGACGCCGACGTATTATTGCCGTGCGTCCCGACGCCAAACCATTATCGATTTATTCTATTACAGTACGAAACTTGCTTGTTAATTGTACTTCAAGGCTACGCGAATCTGCTTGAAACCTTGTTAAAAAATAAAAGAACTTTACTTGACTCAATGAAAATCAATGTTAATTGTCCTTTTAACTATTATATATGATCAAATCAGATTTAAATCAGAATAACAAATTTTTTCCTGTTAATTACTTCTTGAAACTGTCGTCTAAAACCTGGACTTCAATGAAATATCACACGGCAGTTTTTTGTTTCTCAAACACAGAAAATAAACAAAGGATGTTTATATTTTTCAATCAAATTTTTTGTACAACTTATCTCGCCGATGTTAAAGGACGTTGCGGTAATAGTTTTACGACGGACTCTGATGCACGAGATTACAACTCCATATATTTCGACACGCGAATACAGCCGCGTAACAATGAGTTAGCTTAAAGACGACGACGCACGTCTAACGTCTCTGCGAAACGTTACGGTACGTAATGCAGATACGCCTTGTGTCGGCAAGCGAGCTCGAAAGTTCATCAAATACAAAATGCTCGACGTGCTCGATTTAGTATGTTTAGGCAATTGCCGATGTTGTCTACGTGTTACGAAATCAATCGAATAGACTTGACATTTTTTAAAAGGTTGAAAGCCAATTCAAATAGGCGTTTTACGAGCAAACGATACACCTCGCGTATACAGGCAGGAACATTCGTATCCCAGAACAGATACTTTTCAAGTGAATAATTTATAATAATTGTGAAAAAAGATTGCTAGTCGCGACGGAACAAAAGATTTTAAATAATTATTTATCAATCGAACAAATGTCGAAAATAAATACAGATCATTGAAATTATTTCGATTAATGACCAAATACCGAGTTTACGAAACGGAGGTAAGAGGAACCTGTGAGAAATTGAACATCTTATTCGATACGATAGCACCTTATTACATTGTATCGCGGGTATAATCAACGTTGGTTGTGACTACGTGGAATTGTCGAACGAAGGCGGATATTTCTTGCAGCCACGACGCAATCCGTAATACTTTTTTTTGTTCTTTTTCGTCTTCCAATTTTTGCACGGAACAGCTCGCTCCCACAGAAATGTTAACTTTTTTTTTTAAATTGTCCTTGGCCAGTCCGGTCGGTTACGGGCAGAGAATTTTGTACCGACATTGGTTTCCTGTAGCGGTGCTTAAACTCGGCTTGTACCGGCGGCACGATTCCAAAAATAGAAGTTGCTTCACAATAAAAAAATGGTCACTGCCAAAAAAGAAGAAAGGATCCATCGATATATAAACATACGTAAAAAAAAATTTTTATTGTAAAAAGTTCGAAAAAAAAATATCTTCGATTGGCTCGATATTAGATTCGCAAATTAGGTAGAAAAAAAAATGGTCCAGTAGCAGTCAATTAATTTCTTTTCTTCTGAACGGCCTGAGGCATATGTCCTGTATAACAAACACAAAATTGTTTGTTTGGCCAATCGCGCGACGTACATGAATCTTAGTGACTCGAGAACATGTATTTCCAATTTAAAACAAGTGTCTGCTTCCTATTCTCAAACGTAAGGAATTTGTTGTGTCATCGCAGTAATGCGGGCTGTCCCTTTTTACGGACACACGGTATGCACGACTCACTCCTGCCTATACCCAGTGACCTCCCTACCGTTAACAACCTATATTTTAAAAAAACACGGTTACTTTCGACTTCACTGGCATTCCGGGTCGTTCTTGCTTCACGGAAGCGCCGGCCCGTGACGCCTGAAGCGTCCAATAGACACTCTTTCAGTTATTCTCTATGGATTATACGTAGAATTCGACCTAAAAGATTTTCAATGGTTTCGCCTACTTAACGAAAATAGTATGTAAATATGGTGCACCATGGGTAAAGTACGCGACAGAGGCAATGATGGTTTCTGTGCTAAAATCTATAGATGTAACACGGACTGAGCATTATCGCTATATTATTTAACCAGCCTCTAAATGCAGATTTAATGAATGAAAACGTAAAATCAAATTACGTCATGGTACATTGAACGGCATTTAATCACTTTGTTTTAGTTAAAAGTTTTAATCGTGACGCTTTCAATCGACACAAGGTCACGAATTCAGCGGACAATTAAATTTATTTAGGGAATATTATTGAGTTCGTTATCGATAATAATTAATGTGATAAATATTTATTGACTATTAAGTAGGGACGAATGATGGCATTTACGTATATTAATAATAAGTCTAGCTATTTAGTATATTTAGCGTTGCATGATATATAAGAAAGAAGCCAAGAGAAAGGGTGGATAAGGAAAAAGAAAATTTGAGAAATGTCCTTGAGCGTTGCCAAGTGACCCTAATTTGTAACTCGTCGTTCTATTTTTTTTGGTCACAAACGATTTTTTGCCTGACGAAACGAACCTATTATTATCGGACGTGTAAGCGCGACGGGAACGTGGAACGACGCTTTCGTCATTATCCGGCGACAACAGGGCGCGTTTCCGTGTGGCGTCGGCTTCCCCGAAATTTTTATCGAGACCCATATAGTCATAGACGCAACACGTTGACGTCAAGGTTAACGTAGACGCCGCCAGAGGGTTTCCAGTGACGGACATCAATTAGAATATCATGGAAAGACGCCGTGACTGCTGTTTTCAAGCGAACGACCATGACCATTCTTGATCGAGTTCATCACTGAGAAGGAAAAACTAATGAATTTAATATAATTTTTACGACGGAGCGTGCCTTTTTAAATCGCAAAAAGCCTTTAGGTACTTCCTACTCTTCCACTTTAACATTTCTTTGACAATAATTACAGCATAAGGAGAAATTCGTTAAAAAAGATATTAATGCTCACCAATATAATTGTTTTTATTCTTTCCTTTTTTTTCACCGCTCTTTAGAAAGCGCCTTGTATATCGCAATAAAGATCGGGAACGGCGATATTGATCTTTGACGCAATTAATAACATTTCATTCGCTAACGATAGACGTCGGCTAATGTTGCTAATCAACTGCATATCTAATCAATCAGTCACGTTAATCGATCCAAGAT